GAAGCGAGGATTATTCTTCTTGGAGCAGAGAAGGTTAAGAAGAGACTTAATAGAAATTTTTTCAAAATTATGAGGGGATTCGATAGGGTGAACAAGGAGAAACTATTTCCACTGGCGGGTGGGTTGGTGACCCGAAGACACTGACTTAAAATAGTTGTTAAAAGAAACAGAGGGGAGGTGAGGAGAAATTTTTTCACACAGCAAATTATTCGGATTTGGAATGCATTGCCTGAAAGTGCAGCGGAAGCCGATTCGATAACAGCTTTTAAGAGAGGAGTAGATAATTATTTGGGGAGGACAAGTTTGCAGTTTGGGGAGAGCACGGGGGAGTGGGATTGAATTAGCTCTTTTCAAAGAGTCGGCACAGACATGATGGGCTGAATGGCCTCCTTCTGTGCTGTACAATTCTATGATTAATGTTAAATCTCCAAAGGAAAGTCAGAACCATAAGGTTCCCGTTACAGAATAGTTTGGGAAATATTTGTAGGAAAATTACTGAAAACACCAAAGGCAAATATGATAAATGTTACCTAAATATTTTGGCTTTAGCTGAAGAAAACTGAATTAAAATATATTTCAGAAAGGTTTGCTGGAAATGAGATATCATTGGAAAGTAATTTGGATTATACTGATCTTGATACTAGAAATCAGTATGGTTTTTTATCTATTCAAGTGCTCTAAGATGATGCCTTGTGTGAAAGGCACTATATAAATGAAAACTGTTGTTTGTTCATTCTTCTTGTTTTGCATTGTATATTCCTTGTCATTGCTCCATTGTTTCCAAAACTCCTCTCCACTTATTGGCCTAAATTGGATTATTCAGGCACTAACACTGCTATAAGGTTTTCAGCATTGAAGATGCCTCCTCATTGACTATTCAGATAACTGAAATTGCTTAGGGAGGGTTGTCAAGTTGGCTTAGTGGACATTTTTGTTGAATAATGGAATGTTTGGCCATGGATCGGTAAATAATACACTCTGCAATATAGTGAGTGGTATGTAAAAGGCAAGTATAAATGCAAATTATTGTTATTGAAGTGTGCAGATCGGGCTTGTAATGTTTTTTATATAGGCATTTGAAAATCTATCCAAAAGCAAAAATGATGATCTGCACATTTTAGTTTTAGTTGAAATATAAATCTTCTGTAGCAGTTTGTTTTGGCCAGTGCAGAGGTTTGAGTGAAACTGAAACGGTATTTTCAGAATAAAAGGCGAAGCTTCACAGAGCATCAATACTTGAGGAATTTCTTAACCAAGGAAGTTGAGCAAACATCATGAAGTGCAGCATATGGAAATAAAAAAGATGGAAACAGAGCCAATAAATAAAAAATAAAACTATATAGAGCCAAAAAAAGAGGCAATTAATATATCTTACATAAAACGTGTAAGAGGAATAAATTTGGTGGTAATTAATTGAAAGCAAAAAGGTTGCAGTGTTGATTGCAGTCTATTCATACATAATGGAGGAAGGGGTCATTTGATCGAAAAGTTGCAGAGGTTACTCTAAAAGTCTGCAATTTAGAGCATACATTAATGGTGACTGAGTCAGTTGAGGTGAAAAGTTTGGAAACTACATCATAGCCAGGAAGTGCAAGTGCTGCACAAGTGAGTATATCCTATGTCAGTGTTTCTCAGTAATTTATTCTGCAATTGGTTGTTGTAACCCTTTTAATTGATTTTCTAATGCACGGATTATTATTATTTCCATTTTTATTTCTAACTTCCTGATTTTCAATGTTGATCTCTGCTATTTGAAACCGTCACCGTTGAGGAATGTTGCTTGAGTCAGGTTTCTCAGTGGGATATGGAAGATCTCCTGCTTCTTTTCAGCAACAGGGATTTTCTTTCCTCTCTGCCAATTTTCCTCCAATTTTCTCTCTTCTTGCTTTCCCTTTTCCGTTCGGTTTCACAGCCCTCTCTGGTATCTTGTCCAAGTGGCTAATATTCACGTGTGAATCTTGAACACGAATGTTGGCAGATGACTCAACCAGGGGTAAGGGTAACGGGAAACACAGTGTGATCCTGTCCTTACTTGACATCTGCACATAAGCACATTCCAGAACGGAATCCTGGATAGTAATCAAGAGCGTGATAATCTTCTCCATAACCAAGAGATGCTCATTGCCAATTACAATGTCCTCAAGTGTTATCCCAGTTGAGTCCCAGTTAACTCTAATTTGTACATGTAACGTTCTGGTCTGTATAGTTTCACGTTGCCTCTATCCGCGAGGCAACTCTCAATAACTATTATTAAATGCGCAGACCAATTACCCAACATCCAATCCAGGAACAAGTGCTTTTTTGTCACATCACTGCACGGACAAAATACCGTTTCAAATCAAATGATTTCTATTCACTTGGAAGCAGTCATGAAGTTCTGTGGAGACGATAATAGCAGAATTCAGCTTCAGATAATAATAATAATAATAATAATAATCCTTGCATTTAATATAGTGCTTTTCACGTCGGAAGGACGTCCCAAAGCGCTTCACAGAACACACTGTAAAGTGAATTGACTGTAAATTTGTGGGCGAACGCGGCAGCCAATTGCGCACAGCAATGTCCCACAAACAGTCGTAGATTGAAAATGCCAATTTTATTATTGTTTTTGGTTTTGGAGGGATTATTATTAGGCTCTGTGTGGAGTAAGGAAACTTGCCCAAGGTTTCGCCCTCTGCCTGGAATTGAACTCAGGTCTCTCGCTTGCAAAGCGAGTGCTCTAACCACTGAGCTACAGGACTCCACGACCACTGAGCTACAGGACTCCACAACCACTGAGCTACAGGACTCCATAATAATAATAATAATAATAATAATAATAATAATAATAATAATATAATCCTTGCATTTGCTATCACGCCTTATCACAACATTGAGACGTCTCAAAACGCTTCACAGGATATACTGTAAAGTGGATTGACTGTATTTTTGTGTGTGAAATGATGATGATAGAGTACTGTTAGAATATCAGCTGCTGTTCACTGAAACTGGTCGTAAAATGGATACCTTTATGTAAAAAAAATTTGGTCATTCAATCCTCAACTCTTTGTGGGATACTACTGTGTGGAATTGGCTGCCACATTTCGGCCACAATATATACAGTCAATTAATTTTACAGTATATTTTGTGAAGCACTTTGAGACGTCATGAAGATGTGTTAAGGCATTATATCAAATGCAAGGATTATTATCATTATTATGTACACTGTATAAGAGGCACTCCTTCCATTTTGTCAAATCTTATTCTCAGTTTCCTGAGAATCCTGAAGGACTGAGCACATGATTATTTGGTGAAATTGTACAGATTGAATATGAGTGTATGAAATGGAAGCGCTTTGGAGTTCAAAGGTCTCCTAAAAAAACGCAATAGTAATCCGATTGTAGTGTGTCACCACCCACTAATGATTTCGAAGTCCATATTAAAAACACGAGTGCCATCTACAGATAGAAAGTCAATAGCTTATTGCTTTTGTTTCAAATAATTTGAAAGCTGCCGAGAATTCAAATACAAGTACATTTGGTGCACAGGCGTATTTGACATGGCTATGGTGGTCTATTTATTAGATCAGTGTGTGCAACTATTCAATCAGAAAGATTTCTGGATGTGATCTACAAATGTACAACATGGAGTAAGTTAAAATGAAATGGGAAGGAATGTCTTTCAGAACACAGCTGCAACTGATTCGCACGTATCTGACAATGCATCTGACAATGCTTCCAACGTTTATTCTTTGCCCCAAGCGAATGAGTTGAATTTGAAATTCCACGAGGAATGTATGTGGTGGGGTGCTGCCACACCAATGGAGAAGCAATGTGGGGGGGAAAATAATTATTGCATTGCTGTGAATAGCCTTAGTTTAATTCCCAGATCCAAATAAAACAGCTAACAGATGTATTGTCTTTTTTTGATGAACATAGCTCAAAGAAGTTAGAGGGGGATGAGTGGTAAGCAAGTGGACGTTTTATTAGTAATAATAATAATCCTTGCACTTGATATAGCGCTTATCACGTCCTTGCAATGTCTCACAGTGTTATACATAATATATTGCAAAGTGGATTGACTGTGTATCTATGTGGACCTTGACTGTGAGAGTTTCTATGGGGATTTACCAACATCCAGAGCACTATCGCTTTGGTTTGCTCAGTTTACAAAATATACCTTATTGGGGAATCTTGATTTCAGCTAATTTGTGAGTGTTTCACAACAATAATAAATTCTCTGTGAGGTTTAACGATATCTGATCAAAGCCTCATTCTCTTAGTTTCTCAGATTTCATATTTTCTGCCTTAACAGCAGTGTTGCAATCAGAAATGAACTACTGTTTAGTGACGTTAAGAATGCGTGTTAGCTAGTGTCAAGCTGACCTATAGAAATACAAGCCTAATTAAATTAAGCCAAGTTGCAGAACCTCGATTTGAGCATAGTGAACGTTGTGGGTTTAACTCCATATAAAACGTTTTGAGAAAATGCCAAAATGTTATGCTTTGTATTGTGAAGCGTTCAATTGGCTGAGAGAGAAGTGAATTGTCAGTACAGCTGTAGGTTGTTGTGTTAATTGTTGCTGTGCTGGTCCTGTATTGTTTTAATCAGAGTCAGCCTAAGGCCCAAAGCTGGCCTGATTAAACTACAATCAGTTGAGTGAGCATGTGAAGACCTGCCTCTCTCCCTCCCCCTTACCTCCTTCAAGGCACGTCTCAAGACCCTCCTCTTCAACCATGCCTTCGACCAGTCTCCTACCCTCCCTGGCCTCTACCCTCCCTTATCCCAAACCGCATCCCCATCCCTCCACCAGCACCCGGGTCCAAATGCAGCACCTTGGGATATCCTCCCGACGTGCAAGGTGCTATGCAAATGTAATTTTGTGTTGTATTGTATCCTGATGTTAAGGAAGAAGGCCATGATAAAAAGATGTCCAGCTGAGCCACACTAGTTCAGTTGTCGGTTCAGTCTGAATGTTCAGTTTGTTGGTGAGTGACTGACTAAGTTTTCCGCTCCTCTAGGAAGGCAAAACTTCGACCCGAGATTCTGTGACTCGAGCCACTCGACTGTCCAAGATTCCAGCTATTCCAGGAACATCGTAAGAAGAAAAGGACAGACTTTGATGATACAAGTGCACAGTTGCAAAAACACTGCAAGAGATTCATCACCCTCTATTGTCAACATTTCCAAGCAAGAAGAACAGAGAAGCAAGAGAAGTTTGTCTACTGCCTATGAACTTTGATATTGAGTTATTGTGTCCTTACAAGGACACATATTTCACGTTTCGGTAACAAAATATACAGTCAATTCACTTTACTGTATATTCTGTGAAGCGCTTTGAGACATCTTGAAGACATAATAAAGCGCTGTATCAAATGCAAGGATTATTATTATAACTTTGATATTGTCAGTATAATCTGTCATAACCCTGCTTATTGTAACCCTGCTTATTGAATCAACGTGACATTATATGTTTTTCTGTCTGATTAAGTAAACAGAGTATTAAGCATAAAATACAAGTGACTTTGGCTCCTCTGTTCTCAGGTTCCCGACTTTATATCTGAGCTAAACAGAATAAGTTGGTCTTTTCCTGCTCCACCTTGTATCCCACGTTTCCAGAGTGGTTAGTTGGTTGGTTAGTTGCCCTGCTGGCTGGCTCCCAGGCTTGGCTGCAGCTTCAAACCCAACAGCAGTTTTACATGCCTGTATTAAAGAGTCTTTTGGAAATCTTTCTCCAGTTTCTTCCAAACCTACTGAAAAAGATAAGAACAAACCATACTCATTTTCATTTACACAGCGAAAACATGTGTTTAAATGTGCCTGTTAGCCGATAAAGCTTTCTTATCCAACGCTTGTAGCATCTGAGAGTATTAAATTATATGTAGCAGAAATGTCCATTTATTATCTCTTAGCTTGTCTGACCTTTCCCTCACTGCGAGTTCTGGAATCGTTTCCCGGTCTAATGTTACACTAAACACCCACAGATAGGGCGAGTTGTGCCCATGAGATTCCACAGAGCTTTCCAGCAAAGTTGAGAGAGGAAAGCCAAGCATCTCAAGGATGGTTTTTATTTTCTATTTATTTTGTTACTTTCTCCCCTCTTTCCTTTTTTTTTCGGGGGGGTGGAATTTCACTTAAACCATTGCAACTTTTGCAGCCAAGTGAAAAGAATGGAGTTCTGTTCCCACGACTCCACCAGCCCCACTCTGTGGTCTCCCTTGCATCCGAGGTTCCAAGAGCTGTCTGGATTGCCATTGAGAATTCATTCAAGTTAGGAACCTTGCTTCCGACAATTGCGCAGTGCATCATAAGTGCTCACAGTGTGGCATCCCACAAAGAGATTTCCTGCAAGGACACACGTTTCACACACAGCAAAATATCTCCGTGTTTTGCGGGACGAAAGATTAAGGTGAATAACAAATTGAGCGGCTACTGCAAAACGATGAAATATTAGGTACCGGATGGACATCAAAATAACAAAAAAAAGAATGTGATGACATCCAGTTCTTCCAGTGTATTCTTTTCTCAAGTTAGAATGGAAACTGAGCTCACAAGTATACCCTAGAGGAGAGCAGCAATTTGATTATTTATATACACTGATGGCAATAGATACAAAAAAAATCATAAATGGAAACGTACGCCGCTGAAGCAAGGGATAAACAGATAAAGCAAACAACTAAATAACAGATTAAACCATGGAGGGTTCAGTCAGAAAATCTCTTAACGTTGACCATGATGTGCTTTAGAATGAGAGGGAACATGGATTAGAGAAACTTCATATGGAAAGATTTAAAATAATTAATAAAGCAAATTCAAGTGGACAAACTAACCAGAGATTGAATTTGCATTTCAAGTGTAAATTGTACCGTACGCCAATGTATAAGGGAAATAAAAAATAAAACCAGCAGTATTCCCAAAATATTTGAAAAGACAATAATGCTAAATCCTATTAGCCCTGAAGGACAGGCACCATATTCAATGTTAGAGGAAGTACCGCATTTTACCTTGGTATAAGTCTCACTGATGGTCTCAGTTCGGTTTGGCTGGAACAATAAAGGTTAGTATAAAGAGCTACGTATCCTAATTTCCTAATTGCCATACACATATGACAATAATATTTCAGAACATTTTACTGTAAACAGAAACTTTACCGCAGTTATAATTTTGGGCTCGACTTCTCATATTTTCTTTCAAAATAAGACGTTGAAAAATTCTTTAACAACCCGGAGAATTTTAGCGTGGATTGTGTGCTGGGGACAAGCTAAAGCAACAGCCAAGAAAAATCTCTGAGCCTTTTATTGCAGCTGCAGTGAACCCATTTAACTCTGTGCTCATTTATGGGCCAGTCATTGGAAAAAATAAATACTGTAATAAATGAGAGAAGGTGGGTGCTTTAGGTTCAGGATCTCAGGAATTTGTCATCGTTTTAAGAATTTGACTTAAGATGTTTAGACTTGCCAAGAAAATTAGTCTCACACCTTTTTTGTTCTTGTTTCTTGAGGAGTTTCAACAGAAAACAGTTCCTAGTACTGTACTGTAATAGGTTTGACATTGGGGGAGTGCCAACCACAGTGGTGAGAGGGAAAGGCATCCAAATTCAGCTGTGTGACTTGTCCACATCTACAAGTTTAGACTTGGATTCCTGTTTTTGATTTATATATGTGTGTGTTTATATATGTTTCACAATGAGAATTCACAGTTTCTCACCAGAACTAAAGTCTAACACACAGAGGAGTTACATACTGACTTGGCACAATCGTTGCACAAAGTTGCTTGCAGTTTTTCATTGGCTGCGTGACCTACGTAAGTACAAATTTGGGCAGGGATTTGACTGCAGGGTGAATATGTGTGAATTGCTGCAATAAAATAAAGATAATGAATGCGAAGAGAGATGCAGCAAGAGAGGTAGAGAGTTTAGCCACCAGAATGGAGTTCAACACAGTTTAGGTTAATTGATGACAAAGGTGTAAACTTGTGAAGGAATTTTGAATGGGTTAGTTCACTTGCTGTGGCTGCACTTGGGTGGTTATATTAACAAGTGACTAAAATATTTGAACTTTAGACAGGACAGAAAACCATTGGAAGACAACATTAACATACGACAGGCTTCCTTCCAGCTGTTAATTATTTACATTGCATATAATGAAGCAACTTATAGTTGGTAAAATTAGGGAGGCTCTGAAGTATGGATTAAGATTCAGATTTTTTTCAATGCCAACAGATGAATTAATTATGCATAACCATGTACCCTTAGATTGTAAATTAGTGACAATGAGGGACACACCAAGTCTCACCACATCATGAAATGAGAAAGGAAATAATTACTTCCGCTCTTCTGATTCCAGAATACTTCTGCATATACAGAGAAGCAAAAGCATTGTGAATGGCCGTGGATTGGATTGGAATAGATACAGACCCAGCGACACTTCAAAATAATTTGCTTGAATATTTATGAGCCCATTTTCTAATCCTGTCTGAAGACATCCCCAAAGGGGAGGAAATGATACTACAGAGTGTTAAGGATTTCCCTCTCTAGTCCGACTATAATAATCCTTGCATTTGATATAGAGTCTTATCATGTCCTCTAGACGTATAGCTCTGTATAGCTCAGCCACTCATTGGACAGATATTTTGGGCTATCAAGGGAGGTATTGCAGGAGTTTTTCCGTGAAGTATCAAAGCGATCCACAGAATATACTGTAAAGTGAATTGACTGCATGTTTTGTGAGCAAAACAATGTTTTCTCTTACAATCTGACTGTTTACTTTTCCTAACACTGTGTTAGGAATGCTTGGATAAGACTTTAACCTATTGTGATCCTTCTGTTCAATGGCAGAGCTATTTTCTATAAAATTGTGGGCATAAAAGGTGGAGTAGCATCATTTGGAGGTACCATCGATAATAAAAATACTAACAACATAACAATATTTTAAACAATTTAAAACAAGACAGGATGTAAAAACGCTCTCTCTGATTAAATGGTTGACTTGAACAGTTCTGGAGAAGGAAGATCATTTCCAATCATAATGTTAGTGAGGTGAGTGTGGATGTGAGCCAACAACAGATTAATTAAAGCCATGTGTAAACTGAAAATGGTGTGAGAAGCTTTGAGCTCAGCAGTTGGTATACAATAATGGGTAATCAACTGTTACGAGACTATTTGTTGCCTTAACAACCTTCATGAGCAAGAGACATCACCAATGACATTAAGAATTGCTGAAGATAGGATTTCATCCTTAACGTTCAGGTAGGAATAAACTAAGTTGTTGTTGTATGGAAATTCATAAATGTGCCACGTTCCCAAATGTTACATGTCTCTGTATTGAATCATGAATACAATTATTTCATTTAGTGTCACGTAGAATATATGATTTTATGAGCTGGATAGCAGTCAGTTGGAGGGAACTGTGTGATTATTCCTTCCATATTTCACGGCAATAACGCCAGTTATAGCATCGCCACATCTATTACCCTATTTGAGATCAGCTAACTTAGCCCAAACCGGGGATTGCACCAGAAATCTTCCTTGTTCTGTATAACTCAGCCGTATATTGGGTTGAGCTATCAGGGGAGCTCTTGGAGGAGTTTTCCCATGAAGTTCAACTGGGGTTTATAAAAATGCTGCCTTTGCTCATTAATTACTTTTTGGAAGAAAAGAATAGTTTCAAGTATTGATAAACTAGAAAGATTCTCCCATTGGTGCTTTCTCCTGACGTTACACATTATTTACTCAAGACTACTTGAGGCTGAAAGCCTAATTGATGGTCTGGCCTTCAGGCTATCTGGTCCCACCCTCTGAAACTCCATCCTGGACCCCCTCAGCTTTGCCTCCTTCAAGGCCAATCTCCTCTTTGATCGGGCCTTCGGCCATCCTTCCACCTCCCCTCCACCCTTCTTGAATCCAACTACCCAGCTCAGGTGCAAACCTTTCACTGTCCAGCACCTTGGAATATCCTCCCAATGTGAAGGGCGCTGTATAAATGCAATTTGATGATGTTGTTTTTTCTCAAGTGTATCAACCGGAGGAATATTGGGGCCCCCTGTGCTCCTAAAATGTTGTTAACTTGCTTTAACACTATGCTGCCTCCTTTTCTTGGAATTATAATTCTGTTTACTCTATTTAATTCTGAACTTATGTGACCTTATGTGAGCTTTGTAAAATGAAAAACACATGGATATGCAGCAAAACAATATCCAAGTGCAC